CTGTGAGCTGATTTCCTCCAAGTGTCCTGTCATTGTACAGTGCATATGCAATGAATCAAGAGACGAGGGACGAAGTGGGGGGGAGAAGAGAGGCGAAGGTAGGGAGGTGAGTTGGAGGCAGTGAGTTGGTGTGTGTGGGGGGGGGGGGGGGATAGTAGGACAAGCAGAAAGTCGGATATAAACCAGTTAAGCGTGTGAACAATTTCTTCTACGTCACATGCAAAAATAGAACTATGTTGCACTGCTAACCACAAAAATGTCAAGGCCCACCGAGAAGTTCTCAACACTCGCATTCATATTGCACCTCACCAGCACTTGGTGCTGTTTGAATGCATGAGTTAGTGTGTTTGAAGTAACACACATAGCTCAAGAATGTTAAAATACCCCCTTTTTTATTGCTAGGACGGATAATAAGCCGCCATTGAACAAACATACAAAACTGCTGGTATTTGGACAGCTACCACCAATGTGACACGCCCATAACAATGAGACAAGCCTGCGTAGGCTTATTGTGACAGTTTTGGAAATGAGTTCCACACTTGTGACAGTATTGGAAGTTCGTCCGTGGTTCTCAGAAAGTAGGATCTTGGACCACCCTGTTCCTGCAAGGGCTTAAAATCCAACATGTGTGATGTTGGAAAACCCAGTCCCCTAAAGTCAGTGCCAGGGTATGGTTTCAACAGTTGTATCCCTGATTCACTGGTTATCATGGTATGGAATCTCACGTGTTCTGCAAGGACCTAAGCTACGTTGATTTATACAAACAGTGACCCTAATACCTCAATTCTCTGGTGTCTTGCACCCACGTGCAATCGTTCACACCACATACACGTTTACCAAGATACAATGGCCGTACAGAGATTCCAGAAATATCAAATCGCGGATGGTTGCAGGAATTGACCCTGTAAGCTTATTGTTGTGAAGATTCCTGATCAGGAATGGTACAAAGACGAATAGCAATGCAAGTTCATGTGGAATGAAACGTCAAAGGTGATGTAAGGGATAGGATACGGTTTGTGAGTAAAGAGATGATGACATAACAAGAAGCAGGAAGATTCATGATAGGGGTGAACAAGGGGTGCAGAAAGGGAAGAGGGGACGGAGGGGTTAGGGAGAGAGAGCAAGGATGACGTGATAAAGGGGGGTTAAGAAACAACAGAAACAGGGGAATGGTTCAAGGGAAGAGAGGGAGGGGGGGGGGGGGGGGAGAGAGGAGGGTAAAAGGTTACGGGAGGGAGGTGGGAGGGAGAGGGAGGAGGGGGGGTTCTTTAAGGTCTTACACAAAGCAGGAAAGGTCTTACAGGTATGCCAGGTCTGCAAGATCGCCTATTCCAGAAGGGATTGATCCACTGAGCTCATTGTTATATAGTCCCCTGTAATGATGAACACGAATTTCAATTCCAAACATAGACATTAACCCCTCGTTGATACCACACATGTGATGGATGCATAATCTCGTTTCTTCTATGAACGTGATGTGTGAAGACGGCGGGGGATAGTGGTAGATATAAGGTGGAGTATGGAAATTGGGAGTATTGTAACGTGGAAAAACAACAAAACAAAACAAAACAAAAACGTCCTTTGTGCACCCCTCCCACTGCCCAGCGCTCAATGTGAGCTGCGCTGCAAGTTATAAGACGACTGGCAATAACAGGAAAAGTCTTTAGAGAGGAGATGTGGGGTGATACTAAGTTCTGGGAGTCTAAGCATACTCCTCACAGGGCCAACAGGTTTGTAAGCAAGCCGATTGTGTCGGGAATGGAGCTAGAAAGGCCATTGTCATAGAGATAACTGCGGTATGTAAAACACAAAGGCAGGAAGATTGCAAGTTTACCACTTGTTCACTGGTGCTTTTGACTAATTGCTTGATAAAACAAGGAACTGCAGCATGAGAATTTACAGGCCATAACACATGGAACAAGATTGATCATAAGCGAGAAGTGTAGTTTGTACAGAGGACAGACGCCTTACAGGAATGTAAGTTCGACAAGATTGCCAATTTCGGAGGGAATTGGGCCTGTGAGCTGATTATCATTGAGTAATCTGTATGGACAGACACGTGCAAATTATAGTCATCCAACAAGAAAAAACATAGAGAGCGTTTAAATTTTCTCATCAATTCTATCTTCTATAAAATCCAGATGGAGCCACACTGCACACATTTTCTCTGGAAAATGTGAGGGATAGTGTAGGGTTACAGAATGGGGTACAGACAGAATACTTTTCACATATTTCAAGGTATGATGAACACAGTACACAATAAAAACAAGTAAACAGGGGGGTTTGTGTATGGGTTGCGATGTGTGAATATATTCTTGAAGGGGCAACAAAGGGCTGCGATGTGTGAAGATATCCTTAAGAGGCAACAAACGGCTTCGAAATGGAAAACTTCGAGCTAAAAAGATAGGCAAGGGGAAGACATCACCTAGAACGGGTGATAGCAACATTATAGGAAACGAACGCACATGTAACGCATTGCTACCCACTGGGTCGAAACAAGGGTGCGATTAAGGCGCAGAGGATGCCTTTTACATGGCCCACAGGCGCTCGAGTATATATTATTTGCTAGAGCCGAAGTTGGAACAAACCAGGCTGTGCATCACACAGGACGTGCAGATGAGCACGAACAAGGTTTTTGATATGAGAGATGGTATAAACGTTGTGAGTGGAGTGCCATGCCCATACAGTTCTTTAAGTGCAGTCAACGAGCCAATGCTAGTCGGAATGGAGCCAGATAGCTGATTTCCCCTCATTGTCCTGAGATTGTGAGGAATGGAAGGAAGACTTCATTGATATGATCGATGGCAGGTGGGAGGAGCTGATAAAATATGAAGAACTGCAGGACATGAACACATGACATTCTTTTCTTTTAGAGCGTTGTTATTACTATGCCCGCTGTCTCAATTTCAGAAAAGATTGTCACATCATTGGCATGGTTGCGCAACCTCCCTGAAGGCCCAGAAGGGAAATAAAATGTGAATGACAAAATGTTGTCATCGTACAGGGATTCCAAGAATATGAAGTCGCGAATTCCAGTGGGAATTGAGCCTGTGAGATTATTGCTGCTGAGACTCCTGTGGATGGCAATGAGATTGGGGATGAGCAAAAGTGGAAGAAATACGATTTGGAGGTTTGGATTTTTGCATGGCGATGGTGCAGGGCAACAAATGAGATGGGTGAATTGAGAAGAGAAGACGAACCGAGAGACAGAACGAGTAGAGAATAATTCGGCAAAGAAAGATGCATAATAGTGGTGTTACATTGTCACCATTGCGTAAACCTTTTTTCGCACCCATGGACTTGCCACCCTGGTGTAAAGCTCCCGGCTCTAGACGCCTTTGTAGGACAAATCAATAATCACTAGCTATCACGAGCCAAGAAACCTGTAACACTTTATGATCCGCATGAATGTCAGGGTCTTACTCTAGAAGCAAGTGATTCAGCAGCTTCCTTAAGTTGTGTACATCCATACTTGGATACTCGGATACCATTCATGCAAGTACCACGTATGTCATTTGGGAGATGATGACAGGTTAAGAAAATAAGAATATAACACTGAGTGAAGCTGTAGGAATGGACGTTGGACAATATATAGCATATAATGTTTGACAACTGAAACCAAACAAAACATATCAGAGGCCTTACAGGGCTTCCAGAGCTTTCAAATTGCTGATTGATGATGGGATACTGCCTGTGAGCTTATTATTTTCCAAACATCTGGGATGGTGAAATACATGCAGGCCAAGAAACAAGGATTACATGGAAATCACGAGAAGGATGGAGCAAGCACATACGTTGATAGGCGGAACTAGGTAGAGTAGCATGATGGCAGTGTGGTGGAATGTGGGCAGACAAAAGCAAAGGGATAGTCAGCAGCGGTGGAATCAATAGAAGGGTCTTCTTTAAAAAGTACAAGATTACTGGAGAAGCTCAAAGCCGTACACCTTCCAGTCAGTCAACTCTAGCAAGGCTACTGCCAGATGCTGAACTCGTTTTCTGGCTTGGCGAGTGTGTGATCCTGTGTCAGATATCATCAAAACATACCCACCCTCTTTGTTGCTGTGTACTAAAAGCAGCATATGGCACGTGTAATAATGTCCACACTCATATTCTTCCCTCGAATGGTGATATAGAAATCTCTCACAACCTCATCATTTTCTACAGTAGTGGTCTAACCAGTGCAGTTCACTCACACTGTGAACACGCCGTCGAAGTGTGAGCTGTATGGAATGGAAGTGGATTGCTGGGTGTATACAAAATAATATGGGAAACGGGTTGACGTACTAACCAGGAGGAATAGGTGCGCGAGTGAAGGAGATAAGGGAGCGCAGCAAACAGGTATCCTTACAGGTACGCGAGTTGTGCCAGAGATCCAATTCCAGCAGGGATTGAGCCAGTAAGCTGATTTGTATCAAGATCTCTGCGACAAATAGGAATCAGAAAGGTGGTACAGATGTAGGTTGCAGTTAACTTCTAATGAAACCAAGTGTGGAATACTAGTACATAAAGAACAGTGTACACCAGCGTAGTGGACACTGTCTTGCCAATGGTACTTGTGATACACCAACCGCCACCCTAGGCTACTGGGCGCCCTAGGTAAGCAGAGACCGAACTCGCACTGCATTAATTTCTGCAGACATGCGTTCTTTCATCAATCCGCCGCCTAAAACCGTATCCTAATGTATACAATGTATCCAGTCCATAGCCACGCTATGCAGCGGGAGCATGACAGAACGGCCGAGTCCACGCCTGGCCACTCGAGCTGGCATACAAGTGGACGTGAACAGCTTCAATAGACTGCGTCTCCTGTTGAGCTTGCCACGAGCTGAACGCACGACCCTTCGACGAGGCTGAAGGAACCTTGGGGCTTGTCGACAGGGCGTGAAGAGGTTAAAAAAAAACCAAAAATGTTCATTTCGGACGTCATGTTCTCTCTTGATTTTCCTCGGTCGTCCATAGAAAACTCACTTACCAAATGTACCCGAGAAAAGGGTGTAAAATTAAACGAAGAGAGGGGAGAGAGGGAGGGGAGGGGGGGGTTGGGGGAGAGGGGGGGGAGGATGGGGGGGAGGCGAGGGGGGGCGGGAGGAGGTGGGGAGGAGAGGGGGGGAGGGGAGGAGGGAGGAGTGGAGGAGAGGGGGGGGGGGAGAGGGGGAGGGGAGGGGGGGGAAGGGGGGGGAAGGATTGGGGGGATTGGGAGGGGGGTGGGAAAGGGGGGTGGGGAGAGGGGGGGGAGGGGGGGGGGAGAGGGGGAGGAGGGGGGGAGAGGGGGGGAGGGAGGGAGGGGGAGGGGGGGGTGGTAGGGGTAAATCTGGAGAGGACTGGTTGCCAACCAGTGGGCAGACGGAAGGGAAGGGCTTTTGTGCCATGTTCGTTCCTGGTTGAGGAGTTTTGCAGCTCGTCACGAGCCAGTCATTGCTCATGTGCATAAAATGAGAAGGCGGTGATCACAGGGCTGAAACTAACGCGAAGAATCAGGAGCGGGATGAACAGATGGGAAGCGCACACCAACCAGAGTGATCTGGGATTCCTTACAGGTATGCCAGGTTCGTAAGTTTGGAAACTTCAGGGGGAATGGGGCCAGTGAGCTGATTGTTGTACAGCTCTCTGTGAAGATGATCGTGTAAGATACAGGCTTCACTTAAAGTGAAAAAGGAGCAGCACAGGAGCAAGCAAACCGCACTGGTAGACACAATTTCAAGATGTTAAACAAATACAGGATGATCACATCAGAACAGGAGTCAGCGGGATGGTAGGAACTTTGAGCAGCAGAATTCAAACTGTTCTATCCCCCCTTCCCTTCCTCCTCCCCTCTCCCCCCCCCCCCCCCCCCCCCCCCCCCCCCCCCCCCCCCCCCCCCCCCCCCCCCCCCCCCCCCCCCCCCCCCCCCCCCCCCCCCCCCCCCCCCCCCCCCCCCCCCCCCCCCCCCCCCCCCCCCCCCCTCTCCTCTCCCCATCCTCCTCGTCCTCTAACCATCCTCCTCTCCCCATCCTCCTCCCTGCTCTCCCCATCCTCCTCTCCCCATCCCCCCTCACACCCCCTCTCCCACCCCCCTCCCCCATCCGCACACCAAGTCCAACCTTGCCCTTCAATCATACAGGCGGTCAAGGTTTCGATGTGGACATACAGATACGATAACTTTTTGAGGTTGCTGATAGAGCTTGGGATACTCCCCCGAAGAGTCTGGGACTGTATGGATCTGCATTGAAACATACAATAACACAATTTTTATTCAGCCATAATCAGCTCAAATGAGAGGTTCTTGCTCATGGCACGAGGATGTGACTGACATGGTCGTCACTGTGGGTACTCCGGAACTTTGCAGGGTCATCAACTAACTGATACGAGGTGTTCTCACATCTCCAGGATCATCCCGCTCCAGTCGCATGTAATGCCGTTAGCAGTGCTGCACTCAGGCGTTGCGCCACTCCATCCAGGAAAGGTCTGCCCCCATGCCGTCTGGCAGTCCTGCAGGAATCGCGCTGCAGGTTGGTGGAGGGAGGAGGGGTAGTTGTTGGAGGAGTGGGGACGAGAAGGAAATCCGGGAGTTGGTGCTGGATTTGATAGCAAGGTCACGAGGCGGTATAGGTGCAAGGAACAAACGTACTAAGTAGGTATACGGCCTTCTTCGAAGCCACACCATGCTTCTGATAATGCTACAAAAACTATCAATGGCGCGTTACTGAAATGGGTGCGGAGTGCAGTTGGCGGGGAGTGGTACAACATGAACCATAGAGTCTACGTTCCAGACATCCAATCGGGCTGGGACGGAAGTGACTCACCTTGCGTAGCCTGGAGCGGCTGTGCATTAACAGATGATGTGGCAAGAACGGCGAGGGACCATGCGAGTGCCAGCGCGCACTGCACGCGCTCACGCGTCATTTCCTGGCGGCGGCTCACCGCCGCCCGAATCGGACTGGAGCGCCGCATGCTGCCGCTCCGAGGGGGCTGCCACCACGGCCGCCGCTGTTTCTTCTCGGATCGCGCTCTGAGTTACTGTTACGCAGTAGAACGGGTTCGGACACGCAGGTGGTCTCTATATAGTGCTACTTGACTGCTTACTGCTATAGCTGGTGGTTGTCCAGCGCTGGACCAAGTCTAATTGAGAGGATGGTGAGAAAACACTGAGCTCAGTATGTTGAGCAGAAAGATGGGCACGAGTTTGGGCAAGGAAGTGTGTGAAGTGGGCAAAAGGTGTTGTTCGCAAACACTGTCCGAGAACTCGGGCGGTTCAGTACGTGAGAACAGGGCTGAACACAGTTTCAGCTTTCCACCGATCTCAACCGTTGCCCACCAGACCGCACCTTACGAAGTGAATGTAGAGAGTATGACCGCGCGATGGATGTGCGAGCGCAGTCCTCTCTTCACTGGAATTGGGTAAGGTAGTGGTGCAAGGATGGGGAGGGATCCCCTGTGCGCAGGTCTCTGCGCGGAAGATCAACCTAAGTCCTTCGCTTCTAACAGCAAGCTCGCTCTCTGCATCTACGACCGAGAGTGTTAAGGGGTGTCCGAAGTGAAACGTCGACATCCGCTGACATCCGTTTGGGGATGTCGATGAAAATCAGCCATCGGATCGGGGATTCCGACCGTCAGGATTCGCCGACATCCGCTGACATCCATCGACGTTTCACTTCGGACACGCCCTGCATTACGTTGGGACTTCGTTTGTCGTGATCCCTAGTTGTCTTTTTCATAGCGACACGCCACCCACGTGACTCGGGGGGTTGTCTGTCAGCACTGGAATGACAGCGTGCTTCGCAGCTCAGCACAAACCATTCTGGCTTTGCCAAGGACCTTACTGTACATTGCTATCTTTTGCGCTGACTCAGCCTAGGACCTAACTGTACATTACCATACTCCGCGCTGACTCAGCCAGGACTCCCATAAATTGCTGCTGATTTGACAGAGACTGACCCTCGCAGACCTTCGCATGGTGCTGAGCACCTTTGCAAAAGGCTCCACTCCGGAATTTTTTGATTTGGGTTGATTGAATACTTCAAAAAGGACATGCATACACATGATGCTCAACTGCTGCCCGCGAATTTGCCTGCCCTTGTACATTCAGTGACCACCAACAATTGGTGGAGGGAAGTTGCATCCCGTTTAAAGGACCCCATGAGCAAAATGCAGTGATGATAGAACCAACGATAACGGAGCGACCATCGTCAACTGTCAATGCAGTGATGAGGAACCAATGGAAACGAAGAGAACGACGTCAAAGTGTCAACGTGTAACTATTGAGTTTTTTATAAGCCTTTTTTTGCCACTCTAATCGGGCCGAAGCTAGGCCCCTTCTTCCGAAGCCCGTGGCCCGGAGGGGGCCGATGCCTTCGGCATCGCTAGCCCAGCACGCGAAGGGAAACCAGGATGGCATTGGGGCACGCGGCCAACCCCTTAGCGTGATTTCGGAGGGCCGACCCTTCGGCACCTGCCAGGTACACGAGGCCTCAACTGCCCCTGGGAAGCACGCTGACTCAGTGGTGGGGACCACACCCTCGTTCGGCTCGAAACACCAGTGATCCGTCGTGTAAGGTCCCCGTTACAAAGTAAAGATTAAACAAAAAGTCATAACGAAAAGTGAGGCAGCATCTCATAAAAATTGCCCCCCCCCCCCCCCCCCTCTCAAAATTCCAACCTGCACTGATTTCACAAGGTGTAAGCGCGAAGGAATTGTGTTTACGAAAATACATTTCGTTCCGCTTGTCAACCACGATGCCACGCCCTTTTCCCACGAAAATGTACTGGGCTTGCACTTAGTCGCGGATTTTTTTCCCAGCGCCCCTCTTTGTTTCGGGTTGTAACAAATCTCCACCCACCCCCCTAAACCGGAAAAAATTGTTGATGCATTGCTGAGTGCTGGCTGTCAGTAGAGCTACACTGTGAGATCCCCGATCGATCCTAGGGGGGGTTACAGGCGCGTTTGCCTGAGGGGTTATGGGCGCACTGACCCGCTACTAAAACAAGCCCTTTTATCCCAATGGTCTAGTGGTTGGGATTCTGACATGGTATCAGAGCAGTCTCGGGTTCGAATCCCGGTGTATGCACATGTTGGTCGTTGCCACTGTGCTCAGTCCTGGGCCTCCCAGTGTGGGGGGGTGTCAATAGAGCTACACTGTGAGATCCCCGATCGATCCTAGGGGGGGTTACAGGCGCGTTTGCCTGGGGGGTTATGGGCGCACTGACCCGCTACTGAAACAAGCCCTTTTATCCCAATGGTCTAGTGGTTGGGATTCTGACACTGGCACCAAAATTCGCGGAAACGTATGTTCGAGCGCGTGTAAATACCCCGAATGTTCGCGGGTTTTGCCTGCTGACCTAGCTCTGTGTGTGGTGTTTCCGCGTCGTCGCGAGTGTATATCACGAATGAACGGACTGATATAGTGAGAAGGAAACAAATTTATGGGCGTGAAATATCCGCCATGGAAACAGCATGGTCATAAAAATTATAGCGATAGTTGTGACGCGAAAAAAAAAATAACATTTCAAAAGGTCATCAGACGTGAAAATGTTGTCAACGATATATCCAGTTACAGCCTTGGAACTGCTGTAAAACGTTTTGTACCGTACTTGACCGCAGGATACAGAAAAAATGTCCACCGTGTTCTTCCTAAAACGCACACGCGAAAGGTTATCTGCTTCGCGGGTGGATATCACGATGCGAGTTCGCAACTTCCAGATTTTTGCTGCTCGGCTTCTATTTCTGTAGTTTGGTTTAACCCAAAAGCTGCGAGTATTTTCGCGCGCGATACTTTACAGGGTGGCTCGAAAATTTTGGCTGCTAGGTGGCGCAAAAACTCTAACTATCGCAAAAAAAGTGTGTGTGCTATACTGTACGAACTGTGGTGGCGCATGATTGATCCGTGGATGTCGGCTGTTTCCTGCAAATAGCCGGTTAGTTTCGCGGATTTCTAGCTGTCACTGCAGCGGGTTTCGCGCCTTGTTTTCATAGGATGGCACGAAAGGTCTTGCCCCCGTCAAACGCCGGGGCGAGTATTTTCTGGGAGGTTGTAAACTATGACCCGTTTCGTGTCTTGTTGTTGTTTGTGTTTCGGGTCAGCACTCAAGTAGGTCAGTGGTTCACGGTCACAATTTATATTTCTGGTTCGCATTTAGGGCTCCAGTACGTTCAACATCGTAAGAAAACGGTTATAATCGGTTACAACCCACAACCGTACTCAAAACTTTCAGAACCGTATTAAACCGTATGAAAAAACAATACGTCAAACGATGACCCTCGTTAAACGAGGAACTTGCATTCCGGACGAGAAGAAGGATGAAATGAAAATGCCCACCATCGTGCAAGTTGCGTCAGGAACGCCAGCGCGAAATGGCATTTGCACACTCGTAAACGCCCCAAAATTCGTAGCACGAGAAAGCGATTCGCTTTGCCGGTATGTCCCCCTTGTGTTCGCAGATTCCTAAGCTTTTGCTACGCAATCCACGATTTTAGCTTGATTTGTTCTTGCAATATCGGGAATTTTCCCCACGCAAGGTTTTTCACTAAATGTGCGCAAACTAAAAATGTGTTTCCGCAAAACGCACTTGCACTGTACGTGCGATGAGTGTGCCACGGACGCCAGTGGCGTCTCTGCTCATGCATGAAGTACGATGCTGTTCGCGGTCATGATAAATCTCGTCGGTGTTTATGAGGAAAATAGAACGAGAATGAATGAACTATGAATGAAGTGGGTACAAGTACTAACCCTAATTGGGTTGTACCCCCTATGGGATACCCCACTACAGCCTACACAAAAACATAAGCTATAATGTTCTGACACACCCCCATAGGCAAAGTGGGGGAGAACAGGGGGTCACAAGACCAGTCAAGCAAAGCAAAGCAAAGCAAGCTCAGGGTGGATCACAACGTCACCACACAATCCGAGCACAAGAGCAAGGCCACAAGGCCAGTTCATGTCAGAACATTATAGCTTACTTATTTGTGTAGGCTATAGTGGGGTATCCCATAGGGGGTACAACCCAATTAGGGTTTCCTATTTGTACTCACTTCGTTCATAGTCACTTCATTCTCGTTCAATTCTTCTCATGGAATCAGAGCAGGTCCCCTCCTAGGGACTGTTCCTAGGGCCCACCGAAGCGCGCCCCTAGGCGCGCGTTCTTTTTTTTTTTAGCGACCCTCCGTGTCGCCCTCACCGTCGCGATCCCGCCGCCCTTTCCTCGTCGGCCCTGCTTAGGCCCCGTCGGCCCCGCTTCGGCCCCGCTTAGGCCTCGTAGGCCCCGCTTAGGCCCCGCGTCGGCCCCGCTTAGGCCCCGTCGGCCCCGCTTCGGCCCCGCTAAGGCCCTGTCGGCCTCGCTTAGGCCTCGTCGGCCCCGCTTAGGCCCCGCCACGACCCCGCGTCGGCCCCGCTTAGGCCTCGTCAGCCCGCTTAGGCCTCGCTACGGCCCCTCGTCGGCCCTGCTTAGGCCCCGTCGGCCCGCTTAGGCCCCGCTACGGCCCCGCGTCGGCCCCGCTTAGGCCCCGCTACGGCCCCACCACGGCCCCGCTTAGGCCCCGCTTAGGCCCCGCTGCAGCCCGCCGTCGGCCCCGCTACAGCCCCGCTACGGCCCTGCTACAGCCCGCCGTCGGCCCCGCTACAACCCGCCGTCGGCCCCGCTACAGCCCCGCTACAGCCCGCCGTCGGCCCCGCCGCCCGTGCTGCAGCCCGCCGCGCCACCAGTGCAGCCGCCCGTGCGCCGCCCGTGCACCCGCCCGTGCAAACGCCCGTGCAGCCGCCCACCGTGCCACCCGTGAGCCGCCCCAGCCGCCCGCGCCGCCCGTGAGCCGCCCGTGCAGCCGCCCGTGCAGCCGCCCGTGAGCCGCCCGTGAGCCGTCCGTGCAGCCGCCCGCACCGCCCGCGAGCCCCTGCGTTACCCGAGCAGCGCGAGCCGCCCGAGCCGCCCGAGCCGCCCGAGCCGCCCGAGCCGCCCGAGCC